TAACAAACTGAACTCTATAGGATAGAAAAGAGATAAACGGAAAAAAATGACAAATGTCAGAAATAAAAGTATTGTAGAAAACATAATGCTTCTTGTTGTTCTACTGATTGTAAGAAGAGGAAAATATTAGGGAGAGAAAAAGTTGATTACTTAACATTTTTAGTATAGAAAAATATGGAAAAATTTAATTCTTCAATTGAACAGTTTCTTTGTTTCATAAAAATATAGATATTAAAATAATCACCAGCTTATTCAAAGGAAAATTTCATAACAAAAATTTACTGCTGGAATATTTCTAATCAGAATAATTAATGACAATAATAAACAGGTAGAAAGGAGAAAGAAAAGTAGAACATGAAAATTTAGCTAATATCTATCAATGTAACAATATAAGACTTTTTCACACATACATACATACACACACGCACGCACGCACGTACGCACATACGCACTTATATACATACATGAGTGAAAAACACACACACACACACATAAATATTTACAAGTTTGTTTGTTTTTGTTTTCAAAAAAAAAACATTAACCTAGTTGCGGGAGCCACGATTGAAATATAATCATTTTCATCTTGAAGTCAACATTATTACATTTTCAATATAATACAATGAAACGTTGCATATACACAAAAATATGAGCACTGTATACAATCCAAATCAATACACATTTCTAAAAATAACAAAATAAAACTGATTTGAATACCATGCACATTCACGATTTGCACGTGTCAGTTGGGATTTTATCAATGAAATTCCATAGTAATTTTTTAAAGTGTACGTTTACAACTTCTGTTTGTATGGCTGAAGCACGTGCACAATAATTTTGATTTGTTGACAAGAATTTTAACAAGGTGTGATTCCCCGAAAGATGTGTTTTAATGAATTTTTTAAGGAAAAATTATTGGATTATAGAGTAAAATAACATTGCTATTTTTTAACTTGTTAAGAAAAGGAGAAAAACTACTAAACATATTCAAACTATTGAAACGTGTGATGATTGTAATTATAGCATATATAACATTATATATATCGGCGAATGTGTTAGTAAAATAAATGATAGAGTTACATTTATATGGATTATAAATAGGGCTTCTTGGAACACACAAGGTGGAGGGGCGATTAGCACTTAATTACAATATTATAAGATTTTTAATCTGTTGCATTTAAACAGTTCAGATCGAAAAAGTCAAATGAAAATTTGTGTAAAAGAAGTATTTGTATTTAATATATATCTGTTCATTTCAAATAACTTCTGTATGATCAGTATGTTCAAAAATTATGCAGCGTTAAGTTTCTTTCAATCACATACTTGTAACAGCGTTAATTGGGCACATTGATTTTCACAATCCTTCCAGGGATTTTCCACCATTGCCTGAAAATGATTCTCTGGGTCTGGGTCAGGTACAAAGTTCTCTATTTCATTGATTTCTTTAAGGTGATTCCGCTTTGTCAGCCATGTTTGTTTTCACAAAGTCTGTCCAAAGTGAAAGTAGGCCAAAATTCATATAACAACAAAGCTCTTATTGTAAAATGATGAACCATTTGAAAGTACACTTCCAGGTTTATATTTTAAGGACAATTATAAACAAAAATAAAAATGATAACAATAAGAATATTTACCTTGAATGTGCTACATCTCTGAAGACCAAAAACATTCTGTTACAAAGTTTTATGCACATTTCATGAATGGCAAAAATCCTTTTTTAAGTCTGTTTTAGTGCCTACAAAAGCTATTTTTTGCAGCAAATACAAATATCTTTCAAAACTTAACTCCAAATAAATCCATATCTCATGTCCTTCTAAGCACATGGCCTCCATTATTTTTTGTAAAAAAGTAGTGCAAGAAAACAATCATCGTTTATAGCCTTATGAACTACTATTAAATATAAAAACACTATCAAACTTTAAAATTCTAACCTTTTTATGTGTAACAGTGAAGTGTGTCTGTTTGTCATGTACACAAGAGATAGGTAAATGATGTTTATTTTCATGGTTACTACTTTTTTACACATGTCATGGTGGCCATTTTTTTCAAGGTCAGATAAACTACTTTCCTAAGGTTTATATTTTTTAAAGTTTTTTGTATTTTCTGCAAAAGATAGCTTTTGTAGGCACTAAAACAGACTTTAAAAAGGATTTGCCATTCATGAAATGTGCATAAAACTTTGCAACAGAATGTTTTTGGTCTTCAGAAATGTAGCACATTCAACTGTTCAAGGTAAATTTTCTTATTGTTATCATTTTATTTTTGTTTAAAATAGTCTTTAAAACATAGAACTGGAAGTGTACTTGCAAATGGCTCATCATATAACAATGTGAGCTTTGTTGTTATATGAATTTTGGCCTACTTTCACTTTGGACCCACATAGTGAAAACAAACATGGCTGACAAAGCAGAATCACCTTAACTGGTCTACGTTTACCTTTTTCGCACTCTTTATAGAAGATCTTGCCATCCAGCGTCCAATACGAGTGAATGTTTTTTTCTCTGCGGAGTTGTGATAGTTTTTGCACAATGCGTTGCCGTTCATGAGTGAGGTCTTCAGAGATAAATACATTAAACTCAGGTGTTTTACATTGTTTGAGTGCCTTTTTTATTACTGTAGACTAGATCTTTGGTTCTGTATGAATTGAATTTCACAATGATTTGACATTTCTTATCTTTAACTTTTCCAATAATATGTGATCTTTCTATTTGATCTAATGATACTGGCGAGTTATTTTCATTTTCTGGCATATATCAAGAATGAGCTGGTCAGTGTTGATTTGTTCGATTTTCCTAACCTTGTTGCAGCGTTATTCTCGGTATCATGATTGGAACATGGAATTACAACATTATGAAAATCTCAGATTGTTTCTTCTACCATACTGTTCTAACTCATCCAAGCTGGTCTCGAGATTTTCTATTTGATCATTGGTTTCTATTAATTTCTTTTCCAGCATTCATTTTCTTTTTCCTTGGTGCTAATAGACAATTAAACTCAGGCTTTCATTTTTTATGTGGTAAGTTCTAGCATTTGTGATTTCATCGTTACATTTTCTTTTTCCTGACTTTCCATTTTAATTAAGATAGGTTTAATTGAATGTTCTATTACCTTAGTTAGTACTGGCAACATGGCGTCTGACAATGCTTCAATTACAGGTGTGCTTGATACTGCTGCTTGGATTATTGAGGCTATATCAGGTACTGTGATTGATTCTTTTTGGCACGCAGTAGGTATATCTGGTACTTTCTAGTCTACAATGGGTTCGGTCTAATTCCGTACCGGGTTGAGACCGTCAGTGATTCTAGCCTATTTTTATACTCTTCAAAGTGGAGATAGTGCAACTACTCGGCCCTTTCCGTCAGTCTTCGGATAAGAACCTCGAAATACACAGAACGGATGCGGTATTTCGGTCTAACCTACGCTAAGAAACTTGACATGTAAACAAATAGCAATTTAATACTGGTTTATTTCCAATATATATAGTAAAAGTCCACCAAAAATAAGTGAATTCATAGTTCCAAAAGCAAACAATACATCATTTATATACAGTAAAAACCCTCAATTAAGACCACCATCGGGACTTGGAAATAAACAAAGTGGTCTTAATTGCGGGGTGGTCTTAATTGTGAGTATTTTTATTGTTTATACACTTTACGACCATGTTCTATTTTAGTCATTTTGTGTGAATAAAACAATATGTATCCAAAACCTACAAATATTACATAAAGTATGATATTAAGTTACATTCTGATGGAAGAAAACATTTTCGGAAGCAATTTATATCAAATTCTATTTGATCTGATTTCAATATTAAATATTACATGGTGTATATAATACCACCCATCAAATAAGAAATAAATTTATAGCAAAAATCAATGTGCTTAAAGCAACATTAAAAACCACTCTAAAATCCACCTTCTCACCTTATTTTCATACAATATCCCAACAATGAATGGTGTTTTTGACACCTCGTGAAATGAAGTGTTATGCCCTAAGAGCATTAAGCAGAAAAATAACAACATAACAACAAATTAAAGAAATCTAGGCAGGTGTTGACTTTAAATCTGTTGGTCTCAATAGTGGGGTCAAATAAAGAACAAAATAGAGAATTGGGACTGAATTGGTGGTCTTTAAAAACTGGATAAGCGAGGTAGTCTTAATTTCTGGATTCATGGTAAACATTGACATAAAGAACAGAAAATTCCGTTCTTTTTTTAAAAAAAATGGTCTTAACAGCGGGGTTTGGTCTTAATTCCGGGCGTGTCTTAAGAGGGGATTCTACTGTATTTATTATTATGGTTGTAGAAACCGAAAGTACAAAAAACCAACCTGTTGACATTTAAGTCGGTTTTTTTTTAACATCAGTGGGCATATTTAAAAAAATTGTTGTCAGACATTTTTCAAGCAAAAGAGTACCGGAACAGACATTAAATGTCATAATATATAAACATATGTTTTACATCATCTCTGTTTCTGTTTAAATCTGAAACCACGTGGTAGAACTACTTTCAATCCGTATTTGTTTCCAGGTTATTATAGATAATAGCCGAGGCAGTTTTCCAATGTAAAGGTGTACTACCTTAAACAGAACTTAAATATCAAATCAATTTCACTACAAAGTTGAAGAAATATCCTGCACATTTTATTTAGAACTATCTTTTACATTAAAATATGTATAATGGCAAAAGAATCATCCTTTACATTCAATGTAAGAACTAGCCTTAAAATTTTAATTTAAAATAGTTAGAATTATCCTTGCCATTTTGTTTTTGAATGACTAATGAGATTCCCAGAATTCAGATAGTAATTTTAAAATGACTAATGAAAAGTATTCTTATATTCAGTTCTACCCTATTAATTTTACAGGAAAAAACAAATGATTTTAGACGGACTTCGTCCGAAAAACAGCAAAGAAGATATATATGCAAGAGATCCGTCAAATTTGATTCTTGATAAAAAAAAATATTTTTATTAATAATTTAATCGAACGATTTTTGTAACAGGATGTGTTACTAAAGATGACTGCCCTGACAGCTACTGGACTCACAGTCATCATTGCAATAAGGATCAACGTCACTGTGTAGACACAAAATGTGTGTGCGGCCACTTTTAACAAAAGGTAAATAAAGTAAATTAACAAAAGGTAAATAAAGTAATAATAATAAAAAAACAACAAAAAAAACAACAAAAAAAAAACAAAAAAAACAACGGAAGCAAAATTTCAGATAACTGGCCAACAAGTAACATTTTGGAAACTTTTGACAGAACAGCAAATATGAATGCTGTAAAGAAATAAAAATCAAAGCATTTCTGGGGCATCATGGGCCTTTAACATATCACTGCAGGTCTATTTTTGTAATATGCTTTCATTTATCATCAAGGGCTTTACTTTTAGCCAAATGAATGAAAATAAAACATATGAAGGAAAATGTTCATATTTTATCCTCCCTCAAATATGTAAACATTAATTCTCAATGTTAATTTTATTAAACACACGATTCTTTGCCCTTATTACTTTATATATTATTTAAACATTACCGATATAGTTACATAAATATCACTATAAATGTTGGTTTTCTTTTCTTTTATTTTTCTTTCTGAAAGATGCATTATTTGAATCCTCATTTATGCAAGATGTGTAAAACATTAAAACGTTAATGAGCCGTGTCACGACAAAACCAACATAATGGGTTAGCGACCAGCATGGATCCAGACCAGCCTACGCATCCGCGCAGTCTGATCAGGATCCATGCTGTTCGCTTACAGACCCTGTAACAAGTAAAGAAACGGATAGCGAACAGCATGGATCCTGATCAGACTGCGCGGATGCGCATGCTGGTCTGGATCCATACTGGTTGCAAACCCATTATGTTGGTTTTGTCATGACACGGCTCATTTGCACTCTACTTTTTGCTTGGCGGGGTCGAGCACTAATCAGCCACCTCAGTAAAGGGTTAAGAAAGCTCCAAGTGTTTCATATACAATATAAATAAAGACGAAACGATAAATTCATTGATCAAAATATAACAAAATTCACAGTATTTATCAACAACTTTCAAATCAATTTGTAACGGAGTTACAGAAATTGCTGCAAAATTCATAACGTTACACATAATAGCTGCTGTTAATAAATGCCTTAGGTTATATGAAATCACTTGATTTGTTTTCAGTTTTCATAAAAAAACACCATAAACCTGTAGGGTAGCTGCTTTAAAAGAATTTTTTTTTTACATATATTGATATAATGACGCACTTATGAAGGTTTTTTAATAAATGTTGTTTTTTTTCTTTTGCAGGAGCAGAGCAGTGCCAAACTCTCTGATCTGTGTTAATTTTGTAATAAATGAATCTTGAATCAGAAAGGTTGTCGTTTTCTTGTACATAAGAGTTAAAACAAAATTTAAAGGCCCATTAAGCCGAAGTAATGACATTATTTATTTATTTATTTATTTATTATTTTAATATTCGTTCGTTCGTTCGTTCGTTCCTTTATTTATTTATTTATTTATTTACTTATTTATTTATTTTGTTACAGTTTCTGAAACAAAATTGATTGGCCACATAGCTGAACCATCTATTAGCTTTTTGACAACATGTTTTCGTAAAAGTTATATAGTGATTAAAGTATTTTGTGTGGTAGAAAAGTTATAGTTCTCAAAATTATTCATCAGCAAAAGGTACAATAAAACTTTCTCTTCATATTCATCAGCAGACGTAAAATTGTCTAAAAGGTATAGTAAACTGTTGTCAGCAGCGGAAAAGTTGTCTAAATTATTCATCGGCAAATATAAAGTTGTGTTGTTTAAATCGTTTATTGACAAAGATAAACTGTGAATTATTCATCAGTAAAGGTACAGTCGTCTTATACAATCGAGCCTTGTGGCTGTGGGGTTGATGCACGTGATATATTTGCAGCTATCGTTTATCTCTGCGTGATTGTAAGAGACGACTAAATGGATCCGAAGAGTGGAACCTATGTATCTCTCAGCTCCTTCAAATGGAGTGTTGACCCTAGGTTCCAAGGGTTATAAATAAATTCCCTATGCTCATACTCAAATCTTAGGAATTTGATTGGTCAGAAACTGCCGCACAATGAACACTGATCTTTGGAAATCATGGGATTTGAGACAGAACTCTGAGAACAGTTCTAAAACCTTTAGCCCTGGTGTTGTTTTTAGTTTGTAACACCCGAGGTTAGCCAAAATCATCGTTCCTTTTACGGCGCCAACAATTTTTCGGGACTGTTCAAGCAGTCATTGACTCCTTGACAGTATTTCGAAAGCTATACCCAAGAGAATCTCTCAAGCAAGAAAATCCGGTGTCAAGAATACTTAGGTTGAGCTATAATGCTCACAATGCTTCAACAGATGTAGATTCTCTTAGGTTATTAATTTTAAACACTCAACACTCATGCAACATAGTTATATGCCATTAGATGTGTACCATTCAATGATTTACAACAAGGAAAAAGGGAAAAACATCTCTTCTCTTACCTGCCTAGTATCATCGGGTGTGTGTAAGCTCAATATGGCAGAAAATATTGCAGGTTCATACCTAATCCTTAAATATCTTCAGATTGTATGCAATCGTGCTGGAGAAGATGGCCTTAGAGATATATTTATTGCTAAAAATTCTGAAGGAGCACCTAGAGTTACAAACTGCAAGAAAGTTCTTGATGAAGTTATACCAAAATTGTTGGCTTATTTTCAAAAGTGACATTTTTACAATGTTGTGCTCCTTAAAGCTTTTTAAAAATTTTGCCAGAGGATGACTTTGATATTAAAAATAAATACAAGGGATGATCTTGGTTTTGCATGTAAGATCAAAATATATTTCTTAAAGTTAACGTCAGATGCAACATTTTTATTAGTGGCATAGCCATGAGTTTTAGTATAAAAGCTAATGCTAATGATTAAAATACACACACCCGATGATACTAGTATAATTTTATCTAACATGTGAAGTAAACGATAATCGTGTTTTTTCTGTGACTATGTGACTGTTTGGTCATTTTATTGCTTTTTACATGATGAGGTTATTTAAATTTATTGTGAAATGGAAGTTTCGTCCGTTATGAGCAACCAGAACTTGATCGGGAACTTCTGATGTCATCAAATCATGACATCATAATGTTCATGTTGAAAATGTTCGTGTTAAAAGTAAATCTATAACAGTATCAAGATTTTGAGAATGTGATGTATGCAAATTTATAGTATACTAGTGCCAATGTTTTGACTTCATAAAAATGGTATTGTACAACTGTGCATATATTTAGATCCGATGTCATTTCCGTTATACAAACATAGGGTAAAGACGCCCTAAATGTTAGAGGAACAATAAAGGCGCATTAATGGAGCATTATTATTTTTTACTTTAAACAGCCTTTATTTTGTACATGTGATACATAGAATATTATATTTATGTAGGATCGTTATTGCGTTGATTCAATTCGTTGAATGAAATAATATTTTGCTCGCAGGTACTAAATTCAGTATTGAACATTGAACACTCATTCAATATCCTCTAAATATCAGCTATTGTGTAATTATGTTCTGATATATTGGAAGTGAAATTATTTAAATATTATTTCAATATTTTACTGAGAGGATGCAATGAATTCAAGTAGTTTCTTGTGATGAAATAGTTATTCTTGTAGTAAATTTCAATAATTTTCCTGTTAGATGTTGGAAGTTTAGCAATGAAATTTTTGAGAATGTGAACATGACAAATATTGTAAAACAATATTTGAAGATTTCATTTAAACGACTGTATATTTATTAAGATAGCCTCTGTTTAGAAAAACACATAAATAATCATATTTTACAAAATCTGCTGTTTTCCAAGACATAAGTAAGACAGGTAACAAACTTTGTTGTACATTTTTGTTTCGGGAAATTTTTTATATAATTTTTAAAACACATTTTTGTCAAAAAAGTAATGTGGAAAGAGGTCATGAAATTTCCATATTTTGATTGCTCTGGACGTATAAAGTTGTCTAAATTATCCACAAACAAATGTTCAATTGTTTAAATTATTGATATACACTGTACAAAGATTAAAGTTGTCTAAACTATTCATAGACCAAAATACTGTTGTCTAAATTATTCGTTGTCCTAATTATTCGCCAAGGTATTATATGTAGTTTAGCAAAGTCAACATTATTTTCCTATTATGTAAGTTCTTACATCTACTAGTTCTATGCATTATTTTGGATTCGGTGGCAGTTAGGTTAAGGTAGCACGGTTAGAATTCTATCGAAGACTTTAAAGACAACAACAACGAAAACAACAACAAACAAACAAATGTTGTTTTTTCATCGACAGAAGCTATCCAGCAAGAGTTGGAAGTCTTTTCGGTGCAATACTGCACGAAGGGGCCGCGAAACTCAATAATTCAATTACCAGTAAAAATGCATAGTCTTCATACCACCCTAAAGTTCTACAGGTTCTACAGTACCGAACTGAAAAAAAGGATAAAAAAATGACAAATACAATTATAGTTCATTAAAAAGTTTCTTATCTCTCTCTACGACCTAGTTTATTACATATCTAACAAAGCGTTACCCTTCGTGACCGTTTAGTCATGTACGAAATCTAGATGCCAAACAGTTCCATATCTCGACACAAAATAATCACGATCTCGCAGTCATGATTTCATAATTCAATCTCTTATCGCTCCGACTTATATTAATCAACGACAGAGACATATATTTCACATTTCTTTCTGACTTGAAAGCAAAGCAACATGAAGATTGTACTACTGTTGGTCTGTCTGGCAGGTCAGTACCTTTGATTGTCATTATATTTTGTTTAACTCTTACCTTTTTACTTATTTTCAATAATTGTTAACGTTTGCCATCGTCATCACAATTTTTAAATGTTATATGATTGTTTAAGCAATATTCTTTTGGAAAAGAAGACAGATATTTTCATTATAACTTTCATTATCATTTTTTTCTGCCTGAAACAGAAACAAAATAACAACTGACGAATCTGAGTAGACATCTTTTAATTGCAATAACAATTAACGTGAATTACGTGCATATTGTTTAGGAATTGCGGTTGCGGAACGATGTGATGGTGTTGACACTACCCAGTGTGCGTACGAGGTGTGTGCTGTAGGCAATGTCCCAACTTGCGAATCTGGAATTTGTACATGTAGCCCAACACCGGACAAAACTGGTAAGTTGCTTTCAATATTGATATGTGTGTGAATTATATAGAGGACGAATTTCATCCTATTGTCAAACATTGATATGATATTAATACAAGAAATCGAAACATAAAATTTATTAGTTTATATTTATTTTATTTCGAATGTGTATGGAGCTATAAGCTTATAGACACACTTGAATTCGTTCATTGAATCAACCAATGAGTGTCGGGTGAACGGCGTATGGCCCCTGACTTGGTTTTGAACCACGCGGTCAGTTTGGAAATAAAACCGGTCTCGGTTATTTAACACCTATTAGGAGTTTTGATGCGTAGAAATTGACCACAAAAACAGTAGTATTTTCTTTTTTTTTGCATCAAGACAACAAAAACCGGTGTAAGTGTCCGATAAACACCGCTCAGACCGATATTATTTCGGTTCTAACATGACAAAATGAGGGAGACCACTAACGCCATTTTTTTCAAGCGGAGATGGTTGACAAAATGTTTTATCACCTTAACAAAAAGGTCATAATATGTGAAAAAAAAAAAAAAAAAAAAAACGGCCCCGTTCTAACAGTTAAGAAACTATCACGCAAACAGAAGAGTTTGTTGGAGATGCAGACAGTTTTAATATCATAGCAAACTGAAATCCACGGAGTGCAATTTATAATTTACCATTTAAAAATAAAACAAAAATGTAAACTTTTCCCTCATAACTACTGTTACACACTACTGACTATAAAAACGTGTATAAATTTCATATATTTTCTTAATTTTCAGGTTGCGCTACCTTGCCGACTGTGACCAGTACTGGTTCTCTCATCACTGTGGCAAACCACACAAACAGTGTATGAATGGTCACTGTACATGTACGCATGGTCATGGACGCTGATAGGTTCGAGTTCTCTTTTTATCATAATTTTAAAACGCACCTTTATCCTATTCACCTTTCCTTTATTCATTAACCAAATACATAATGAGCCGCGTCACGACAAAACCAACACAATGGCGTTTGCGACCAGCATGGATCCTGACCAGCCTGCGCATCCGCGCAGTCTGATCAGGATCCATGTTGTTTGCTCTCAGTTTTTCTACTTGTTATAGGCTTGGTAAGCGAACAACATGGATCCTGATCAGACTGCGCGGTGCGCAGGCTGGTCTGGATCCATGCTGGTCGCAAACCCACTATGTTGGTTTTGTCGTGACGC